ACTAAAGACTAAAATTTAAATATGGCCTGTGGTCAAGACTGTGAGATATGAAGATTGAGATCGAATCTTCCAGTGTTCCTCAGACTGAGCAGGGCCATTTTGAGCAACTTGGTGTAGGGTTTTGCATTTTAAAAGAGAATTGGAAAAATCCATAGAAAAGCCACAACAATAGCTGGAAAGTAAAAAGATGTTCTGAAAACAGGCAAATGAATCTTCCAGTGTTCCTCAGACTGAGCAGGGCCATTTTGAGCAACTTGGTGTAGGGTTTTGCATTTTAAAAGAGAATTGGAGAAATCCATAGAAAAGCCACAACAATAGCTGGAAAGTAAAAAGATGTTCTGAAAACAGGCAAAAGGAGTTTGGCTTATTTAACATGGAAAAGAGAAGGCTGAGTGTGCCTGGATTTGAACATAAGATTATCACCAGGAGAAAAATGGCCAGCTGTTTTCCATCTCCATGGAGGAGCAAATTATAGGAAATGGGCTGAGACTGCAGCACAAGGGTGGTTGTGAATACGAAAGCATTTGTAATTGGACCCTGGAACAGACTTCAGAGGAAGACAGTTCAATTCCTGTCACACAAGTTTGCTAAAAATATGCCAAGGACTGACCTGACCAGACAGGGGACTGGATGTGATGACTTCTTGGGCCCCCTTGTTTTATCATCTTTTTGCCTGTGTCTTCATGAGGTCCACCTAATTAGCTGAGTGAAACATTCAGTTGCTTTGCTGGATGGTGTATACAAGCTAGTTTTCTAAACAACCCGTTTGATGGATTGTGATCTATTGTTTTATTAAATTGACTGGTGGTTTTGGGGTCATGTTGACATCACCAGTAATTTTATAACTTTTATTTTACTTCATTGAGCTTGGACATGAGCCTATAAATTATATTATGCTTGAGGGTCATCAGGTTGGCCTTGTATTGATCATAATGTTAAATAGTTCAGTTTCATGAGCCAGGAGGTTCTTTAACACTGATACCAATACACACTCTGATGTAATCTGAACCAGTCATTCAGACCAGAGTAAACAAGGTGAGGAAATAGTTCCAGGCTTTCAATTTGCTCCAAGGGTGTGCTGTTTGTATCAAGAGTGTGTTAATGTATTAATGTTAAAGCCAAACATCTAAATTTGAATGTGGTAGGTGGGGGGTTGGAAAAGAAGATGTGATCCTGCTGTTTCCAGAGTCCTACAGAAATAAATTAATTCCATTTTCAAGTGAATTTACTGAATTGCTGATAGAAAAGGACTAAATCCATTGAAAGCTTATATCCTCCATTGTGGGACCATCAGGCAGGTGGACTCCCCTGGACTCTCTTCTGCATGTACTTTAACTTTTTCATGCTTACACCCCAAGTGAGACAAGGACTGGCTTCATCATCTATTGAGTGTTTAGTTTCTTTGCTAAAAAATGTTCCTCTGCAAATGTACATGTTATAAGCACCAGTAACCACTAGGTTGTGTTCGTAAAAGGACAGAAAATTAGCAAAACCATTGATGTGAATACAAAATGGTACAAATTCAAAAGGATAAGCCTTACCAAGGCAGAATTCCACATAGGTTCTTTTACCTGATTTTGTCCCTGTGTGACAATATAGCTGGCTGTCCCCTAACAGCAAAACTCCACTTCTTTTGATAATATAGCCTTTAGGTCTTAGCCAGACCCATGACTTCCACTAAAGACTATTTTCTGGCCTCCCTTGCACTTAGGTGAGGTAAGGAATAAATTTTGACTGAAGGGATGTGGGCAGAAGTGATGTGGGCCTAAGTGACATGTGCCACTTCTGGTCCATGACCTTAAAAGGAAAGATAACACCCTCCACTTCTTCCTTCTCTGCTTCCTGCAGGATGGAATGCAGACATGATGGCAAGACATAAGCAGCAATCTTCAACCATGAGGTAGAAGACCTGTGTTGAGGATAATGGAGAATTAAGATGAAAGAAACTTGGATTTCCATTACCATGGAGCCACTGCATCAGACTATTTATGCTTTGATTGTTAAAGGACAGAAAAATCAACTTCCATTTGTTTAAGCTACTATTATTTTGACCCTTGTAACAGTAGCCAAACTTGTATCCTTACTAATATCCTGACTCTTTGGGCAGCAAAACCTTAACTCAAGTAATATAGGTGATTTTTCATTCAGTAAAAAAGACATATGTTGTTCCAGACAGATAGACAGATAGATAGATAGATAGATAGGCAGACAATACACACACAGTGCACACACACAAAACACTTGAGAGATTTATTAACTAGGAACTTACTGAAGATCACTGCAGAATTGGTTATAAAGAACTCACCCCACACTCTGAAATGTAAGATATATACCACTCATCTTATGTTTTTATATATAATGGACTAAAGAATACAAAGTGAATAACAGTGAAACTCTAGTGAGGTGGTAAAAAGCATAAGCTCTGGAGCCAGACAGACCAGCTGAATGACCAGGGGCAATTTACTTAAGCTCTGAGTGTCCAGGTTGTCCCATCTGTACAAAGGGAGTAGTAATTGTTCCTGCCTCATTGGCATGTTGTGAGGATTACAAGAGATCATACAGGTAAGGTGCTTGGAGCCAGGTGTTAGTGACTGGCACACACCGAGCACTGAATAAATACTCATATTAGCTACTTTCCTCTTAACCAGTGATGATGCCAACAAAATTGGGCTAATGGAGTAATTCTAAACTGCTCTTGATCTGTTTGTATATATTGTGCATGGTCTTACTTGAGACATCTGCTATGGGTCAACTGTGTCCCCCAAAAGTTCGTGTGTTGAAACTTGATCCCCACTGTAACAGTGTCAAGAGAGTGGGAAATCCTATTATGACATTTGAAAGGTGGGGCCTTTGAGAGGTGATTGGATCATGAGGACTGTGCCATCATGAATGGATTAATCCATGCATGGAGTGATGAGTTATCAGGGGTGTGGACTGGTGGCTTTATAAGGAGCACGTGAGGAGCTCTTGCTCAGCTCGTTCTCTCGCCCTGTGATTGCCTGCCTCACCACGGGGCCCTGTAGAAAGTTCCCACCCAGAGGAAGGCCCTCACCAGATGTCCCCCTGGACCTTGGACTTCCCAGCCTCCAAAACGATAATAAATTAATTTAATTTCTTTATAGATTACCCAGTTTCAGACATTTTGTTGAGAGCAACAGAAACAGACTAATACAACATCTAATCAAAAATGGCCACTTCTTGCCTGAAATCCCTTATGGGTGAGTGCTAATCTTGATTTATGTACATCTTTCAGGAGTATCAGAAGTACTATATCATTGCATCTTTGTAAATCGATGTCTGAAGGAAGTTTGAAGAGTAACAATAAAAGTCTAGATGTAGCTGGGGCCCTATCCCACTGGAGCTGTCTTCTCTGGGTTCTCATTGCTGAGGACTAGGTTGTAATTAGTCTCCTCTCTGGTGCCCACATCCATCTCTGCAATGGGGCCTTGGAGAGAAATGAATGGAGTTTAGCCTTCACGGCTTCTTATTTGCTTGGGTCCCCTCCAGGGTTGCAGAGCTCATTGTGGGAGGCATGGAGCTGATCCCAGGCTGTGGCTGGGGTGGATGGGCTGCTCACACCATATTCATAGTGTACCCCTGGTGCTGGTGGGCCTGATGGAGCACTCCAATGCTATCTCTGATCCAAAGATGAAAGATTTGAACGAGATGCTGCTTTGCTCCTTGCGTAGAGGCTACTACAACCAGGCCTCATTCCCTTACTGGGACTGGTGGGGACATGGGAGTAGCAAAGAGCTTGCCAAGTTGGACCAGCTGCTATCAAGGACACTATCTGGGCAAGAAATTGTCAAGGACATGGCAGGAGGAGCATTGCCCACAAAGGGTTCTGAAGCACAAGGAAACCTTTCTAAACCACTGATGTTAGGAGAAAAATAAAAATAAAAGCCGTGCAAATGGAAAGTCAGGATTATCTCTCTATTCTCTATACGTAACCACTTTACAACATTGTCACATGAGAGGTTAAAAAAGTATAGAGTCAAAACTTCAGGGAAAAATAGTATTGTTGAAGTGTCTCTTTTTTGTGTGTGTGTGACCGGTAAGGGGATCGCAGCCCTTGGCTTGGTGTCAACCGCACCGACCGCACCGTGCTCAGCCAGTGAGCGCACCGGCCATACCTATAGAGGATCCGAACCTGCTGCCTTAGCACTCCCAGCACTGCTGCGCTCCCAGCGCCGCACTCTCCCGAGTGAGCCACGGGGTAGGCCTGAAGTGTCTCTTAATTAGCAAATAAATATTGCCATTTTAATGGATTTCGTGGTTTGTGGTATTTGTCAGTTTTTAAAATTTTGCAAATACTCATATCATACCTGAACGTGTAATTTTGTACCTGTTTCCTTAAGAGTCTCTCCAAAATTGGGTGAGCCGCAGGCCCCACGACACCTGGAGCTTCCCCTGAAAGAGAGTTTGCATCCTCTTTGGTGAGAAGAACAGTTCTTTGTTGGTGTTTTAGATGGAGATGGACTGACCGTAGTTAGTGACAGACACTTTCTGGGCAATGTCATCACTCAGTCCCCAGAAGCAGGCACTGGGGCGTCCGTGGAGAATCAGATGAGGCTCAGGTCAGGTGCGCTGTTCGGTGAGCATCCGTGATGAATCTGCAGGAGGGGAGGATCGGGAGCTGTGCGTTTCCGTGTGAGCCCTTGCTGTTCTCTTTCTCAGTATCAAGAATGTGCAGTTACTTCCTGGCTAGTATAACTGAAGAGTCAAGAAAAAAATCTACTTTTGGCCTTTCTGGACTCAAAACCTCAGCTGGACACACTCTAGTTGCATTGAGCGTGGTGACTCTTGTCCGGGGAAAGTCCCAGTCCCATTCTCTACACACCCTTCTCCTATTCTGCTCCATAAAAAGAGTTGTTTCAACCAAGCAAAGTGAACAAGCTGAATATCTGGTGATGATCTTGGCTTTGGAAAAGAAGCTGGAGAGGTGGAGGGGGAGGTGAGAAGGATGGAGAGAGAGTGAAGCCCACTTGAACATGGCGGTATGTGACTCGCCACTGCTGTGACAGGGGCCAGACACAGAACCTCTCGCTTGCACCTTTATGACAACTGGAGTTGCCTCTGTCCAGGCTTCCCTCAGCCCCAGCCTGGTCTCCACACAAAGAGCCAGAGCTATTTTTTATAATCAGATCAGAACATACCACTCTTCTGCTTAAAACCCTCCAATGGCTGCCCAGTGCAATGAAACTAGAAGCCACACTGTGGTGGCTCACAAGACCTTCCAAGGCGTGACCGCTGCCTCTGCTTCAGCTGACCTCATCCCCTGCAACCTCACTCCCCAAGCCTGCCCGGGCTTTAATTCCTTCCTCCTCCCCTCCCTTCTTTCCTTCCTCTCTTCCTTCCTTCTTTTCCTCTTCCCTCCCTTCTATTCTCCCTCCCGCATTCTCTCCCTTTGCTCATCCTCCCTCTCTTCCCCCACTGCCTCCTTCCCTCCCTTCCCCCACTTCATCCCTCCCTCCCTTCCTTCCCACCTTCCCTTCCTTGCTCCCCCCTTTCTAAATAACAGCTTTACTGAGATATCATTCACATACCACACAATTCACCTATGTAAAGTGTGCAATTCAGTGGTTTTTAGAACATTTGCAGAATTGTCCAACCAGCACTACAATCAATTTTAGAACATTTTTATCACTCCCGAAAGGAACTCTGTACTCATTAACAGCCACTCCCAATTTACCCGCAATCCTCACCAGCCCCAGTCATAGATAACCACTAATCTACTTTATATCTTTATAGATTTGTCTATTCTGGATATTTCTTACAAATGGAATTATACAGTATATGACCTTCTATGTCTGGTTATGATGTTTTCAAGATTCATCCATGCTGTAGCACATATCAGTACTTTATGCCTTTTTATGGCTGAATAACATTCCATTGTATGGATATACCACATTTTGTTTATCCATTCATCAATTGGTGGACATTTGGATTGTTTCCACTTTTGGCTACTATGAATAATGTTACTATGAACATTTGTGCATAAACTTTTGTGTAGACATATGTTTTCAATTCTCTTGGGTAAACATCTAGGAGCAGAATTTCTGGATCATATGATAACTCTCTCTAACATTTTGAGGACTGCCAGACTCTTTTCCAAAGTGGTTGCACAATTTTACATTCCAACCAGCAATATATGAGGGCTCCAATTTCTTATATCCTCATCAACATTTGTTACCATCTATCTTTTTGATTATACTCATCCTAATGTGTGTGAAATGGTATCTCATTGTGGTTTTGATTTGAATTTCCCTGATGTTGTGCATGTTTTCTTGTGCTTATTGGACATTTGTATATCTTAATTGGAGAAATGTCTCTTTAGATCCTGTGCCTATTTGTGAATTGGATTGTTTTTCTTTCTGTTGTTGAGTTGTGAGAGTTCTTTATATACTGTGGAGGCAAAATCCTTATCAGATATAGGATTCACAAGTATTTTCTCTCATTTAGTGGGTTGTCTCTTTGACTTTCCTGATGGCATCCATTGAAACACAGAAGTTTTTAAATTTTTATTAAGTCCAATTTATCTATTTTGTTGTTGTTGTTGCTTATATTTTCAGTGTCATATCTAAGAGGCTTTGCCTATCCCAAGGTAGTGGACATTTACTTCCATATTTTCTTCTAAGAGTTTTATAATTTTATCTCTTACTTGTAGGTCTATGATTTGTTTTGAGTTAATTTTTTAATATGATGCAACATAAGAGTCCAACTTTATTCTATTACCTGTGGATATCCAAATGTCCATATCTATTTGTTGAAAAGACTATTCTTTCTCTGTTGAATTGTCTTGGTATCCTTAGCCATACTGCTTTCTAGTCCTCCAACAAACAAGCTGATTCCTGCCTCAGGGCCTGTGCACCAATGGTTTCCTTTGCAAGGAACCCTCTTTCCCAATTTTTACTTGCTGGCTCCTTCTCAGGCTGTAGATCTCAACTTAGAGAAGCCAATCCTGAACACAATGTCTAAAGCAGCCCCTGTTCCCCTCTCCATCCTTATTTATTTTTTTCTTAGTTCTTAACACTGCCTGAACATATCACATGTTTGATAAAGTAGAGGTTTTGAAATCCTCTAAGTGGAGAAATAGATTGTCACATCAAGGTAGTCCAGAAGCAGGTAGTAGTTACTGAATTTAGAAACAAAGAATTCTTAGAACTGTGTAGCATGTGTGTGTTGGAGGATAGGTGGGGTGTAGCTGAGAGGAGGTCCCGTGGGCGACAGTGAGAGAGAAGTGGGTGAGTTCCATGGCAGCCTGCAATCAGGGAGCTGCTCTGTTGCCCAAGGCTGGTCTTTCACACACGCTCCACATACGATTGAGAGGTTTAACTGTTTCCATTTACAAGCCAAATCTGTAATGCTTGTGTCAGTTAAAAATAAAATAAAACTTTTAAAAAATGTAATTACAATTCGAGCCTCCATTTTAATTGAGTTCTAAAACTGAGAACTCGATAATCAAGTTCTAAAATAGAGGGTTCTCCCTGCCCTGACTCAGTGGATGGTCTGGACTCCTTAGAAAATCCTGCTCCTGGATCAAACCTCACTCTTTCTGCTTTAGACCTAAGCTCTTCTCCATGAGGCAAAAGCTCAAAGAGCAACTCCCACCCCCACCCCAAGAACACTATGAAGCAGACATTTACTTTCCCTGAAACACCGGTGACAGTCACTCCTGTTGATTCTGTAGCACCTGGGAGTTGGGGGAGCTGGTGAGGATGTCTGGCCGCGTTATTCTATCTGCTGAGCTCCACATCACCAAGTCACAAAGGAGCACAAACAGGGCTTGTTTTGGGGGACGGGCAGGAGGAAGACCACGATGACAAACAAGCTCTAGGAACACAATCCAACTATGGAAATTTTGTTTTTAAGACTCTTGAGAGACAGTTTGGCTTTTAGTTTTTGATTTCACAGAATAACTCCTTGGAGGAGGTTTCTAAAGCATAGGCTGTGACCATTCGTGGGTGATGAAATCAATTTAGTGGCTACAACCATCCATTTTTTTCAGCTGTTTTGAGGTATAATTGACAAATAAAAACAGGATATATTTAAGATATGCAATGTTATACAGCCATCAACTTTTTTAAGTGTAATACATTATATTAGAATAGACAGTATCAAAGTATGGTTAACCATGGACTCTGAAGCCAGGCCTGTTGAATTTGAACCTCCACAGTGTGACCATGTAGCAGCTATGTGGCCTTGGACAAATTACTTAACTTCTCTGTGCCTCAACTTGTTCCCCTGAATAATAACATGTACTTCATAGAGTTATTGTAAGAATTACATGAGTTAATACAGTTCATGTGTCACTTAACGATGAGGATACATTCTGAGAACTGTGTCATTTGGCGATTTCATTGTTGTGTGGATATCACAGAGTGCACTTACACAAACCTAGACGGCGTGGCCTACCACACACCTAGGCTATATGATACAGCCTATTTCTCCAACTACCATCAGATATGCAGTGCTTCATTCACTGAAACATCATTATGCGGCTCATGACTGTATACATAAAGTACTTAAAACTGTACCTGGCAGGTGATGATTATTTTGTAAATATTTTGCTATAATTAACAGAAAACAATGTTTTGTGAATCTAAATCACAAGATACAAATCGAATATGCTTCTTTTTTTGTAGAAAAGAAGCAAAGAGCGTAATGCTGCTTACTGAGTGTCAGAATCAGTTAGCTATTGACATAATAATGCTGCATCACAAACAATCACAAAAATCTCAGTAACACACAACACAAAGTGTTTACTTCTCATGAGTTTGGGGGTGGCTGGAGCAGCTCTGCCCATCTCATCTGGGCTCACTCATCTTTGGGTCCTCTGGTGATCAGCTGATCTAGGTTGGGCTCGGCTGGGCAGCTGTGCTTCAAGCTTCAGG